ATATTACCAGATCAAAATTTTATTTGAGAAAATGTATCTGGTAAACGTGACAACGTTGTAAGTACTTCTAAATAGTGTTGTCTACACACACTTCTAGAAATAAATGCAACGTTGCCACGTTTACCAGATAAATATTGCAAATCAAATTTCTACTTTTTGATTATGGTTGGTTAATTTTCAGCCTGAGTAATAATAATTGTTTTAATTAAAAAGTAAAAAATAAGCTCCCAGCTTTAAATCTGAAAATATAAGTTCATGATTTTTAGAAAAATAATGGCATTTTACTATTTAAATTACATATATAAATGCAGAAATGCTATATAAGGGATACTCCGACAACCTCTCCGTCTTTAAGCATAACCGATACGAGACCTGAACGGAATTAGGGATTTTCTGACGCAATGAGTCACTGAAAGAATTTTATGGGAATTCCCTTACTTCTAGCAAAAATATCTTAACGGGAAAAGTACCACCAGACAAAAGAGTTTAATATCTTTATAAATATATAATTAATTCACATTCAAAAATGAAAGTGAACGGGCCCATTGTATACTGTCTAAACAACTTACTAAGTTCCACTTTTATCGGTCTTAATGACCTACAGATAATAAACTTCAAATACCCTTTTTACCTTTTTACAAATTATTGACAGTTTTCTCTAAAATATGGCAAAATTAATTCAAAATAAATTTAAATTAAATTCGAATAAAATAATTTATTTCAGAGCTTCTATTGTCCGTTCGATAAATGAACAAGTGACAGATATGACCTATACAAGGCCACTACTATTTAATTTTATTACATAGTATATTATTTGCTTCAAAATGAAGTTAGGATAAAACTTCAGTCCGTGTGCATGAATTTTTTCCCATGACCAACAATATAAACCAATGTTTTTATTGACTAAAATAATAACAACTTCCTTTTGAAATCTACGAATTCACTTACCTCTTATGTTTACTTAAGCACTTTTACATAAATCTATCAATTTTTGAACCCTGGACCCTAATTGTAAAAACTGGCACGTCATGTTTTTTGCTTGTTATTTACAGTTGAGTACAAGCAGAGATAACAGAGATATAACCATTCATTGATAAAATATAATATTCGCGATGCCAAGATTAATTCGACAATCGATACACTCTATTTGTAGGAACGGGGCGAGGAGACGAAAGGTGAGAAGTAAGAGAAGGGATAAAGAGAAGAATTTTACGCAGAACAACTTATTTTTATCAATGAATAAATGTGTAAGGCGTTGTGCGTTTATAATAAACAACGTAAATATCCATGCCGATGTAAGCCATGTTGCCACTTCCAACCTAACATAAATAGGTTTTGGAATTTATTGAAAATTATTACATTTAATTTAGTGAAATTACATCTAATTTAGTTAAATTTAATATAACTAATGATTCAAAAATTTTATGTTGGGAATATCTACCAGCAATAGATGGATTTGCAGTAAATGGTTTAATAATTTGTAAATACACAAGTAACTCAAAGTATTCAAATTCCTAAAATAACTTAAATGAAAATATAAAACTAACAAATTTCCTATTACTTACTGTTCCTTGCTGTGCTTAATATTCCCTTCTATATTATTTGACAATTTATTAATTTTGATTAAGACCTAGCTGTTAGAAAAGTAAGTAAAATAAACAAATTGTTTCCATAACATTTTAGAAACAAAACAAGGTAAATAAAATACAGGGTGTTAAAAACAATTTTAAAAACAATAACTGCTAAATAAATGTCCGAAGGGCAATATTTTTATTTAAAAATCATAAATATCAACCCTTATTCAACTAACATGAATTTTTGCAGTCATATCAGGGACTAGTATGGAATCAGTAACAACAGCAGCCATAAAGTAGAAAAATTACCTCCTATAAAGTAACCCCCCCCCCCCAAATGCTTCGACTATGCCCAAAATATTATTAACTCATTAGAGAATGGATTGAAGCTTAAGTTTAAAATTTTGTGTTTTTCTTTTTATCCGTTTTCTAGTTATCGTAGATACAGACACACAGACCTTATACAGGGTGATTTCAAAGTCATTCCTTTTAATAGAGGTCTAAAAATAATAATTTTAAATTTGATCAAAATATTAAAAAATAATTATAAAAAATAAATTTCCTCAAAACTTCTTAAACCAACTTAACAAAGTACGATCCTGGAACATACAGCCTTTAGTGTAGCCGGGCGGCGCGGGTTGGTCATATTTGAGTTTAGCGAGACAGCTCCGTACGCAAAAACTGAAATAATTTTACTGTTTGTTTAAATATTTTTTTATCCCTTATTTTGAATTTTTTTTGGAAAAAGTATATGACGAAAAGTGATTCTCGGATTGAGTTTTATATGTTGTTATAGTCTATTTTTATGTATGAGAGAGTATTAAAATAATAAAGCGTTCGTAATCCATAGGCGTATCACTTCTTATATTTTCACGTAATTAACCTGCTTATAACTTCTAAACAGCTGAAGGTAAAAAAGTGCAATTTTTTCTAAAATATTTTATTTTTCCACAAGGTATGTTAAGAACATTGTGTCAAACGGGTTATGTAGATATAAGGGTTTAAACTTTGACATTTAAACAACGTTACGTTCATAAATAATAATTTTAATATAAAAACTACTTCTTACCTACAAATCCAAATCAGAATCAAAATCAGAAGATGAACTATCGCAACCAATATTTACAATGAGTGGCTCAATCATTTCATCAGTAATATTGTCCAACTTCCACATTTTCTCTTCTTTAATCGTATGATTTACTGCCTTTTCCCAGTTTTCAGGCTTCACATTATTTACAGCCTCCAAAAACAACTGTTTAACATTACTCTTTTTAAAAGAATTATTTTTTCTTGAAACTTCTCCCTTTATCTGTGCTCATATCAGTTCAATCGGGTTTACTTCGCAATGATATGGTGGTGATCTAACCACCGTCATCCCACGATTTTTTGCAATTTCATCAATTTCATATTTTTTTAATTTCTCTTTATGAAGGGAACACAAATGATATTCTGTAAATCTTTTTTTAACCACTTGGTTGTGGGCATTTTTTCTATAAGTCTCGAGTGATAACTTGCATTATCCATTACTATTATACAGTTATGAGGAAGAAGATCTATATAATTTGTTCGAACCACTCTTTAAAGACATCAGCATTCATGTCCTCATGGTAGTCACCGGTACGAGTAGATTCAAAAGTCAATAAACCACCTTTAACAAAACCGTTTGAACTACCGATGTGTACTATTATTAGTCTGCGCCCCTTTCCTGATGGTGGATTTAAACCAGTAGATAAATTATTTAAAAAAGCCTGTCTTCGACTTGTAACAGTTTCATCTTGCCAAAATTTATTTGGTTTATGTCCCTCGTTGATCCATGTTTCATCTAAATAAAATATATTTCTTCTTTGGTTTCTCATTTCTTTTATAGTCCTTAGGTAATTTCTTCTCCATACTACAATATCGCTTATTTCTATTAAAATGACTTTCTGGAATGCTTTTTCCATAGAAAACCTATTTCTTTTAAAAGTTTCCATAGTGTGCTTCGACTCATTTCAGGGTAATCCTTATCATCTCGAACCGTGGAAAGAACTTTGTCTACTGTCGGAAATTCTTTTCTAAAGAAGAACGCATGCACTTTCCTTCGAAGTCTTTCTCTCAAAAGATTTTCTAATTGATATTTTGGTTTTCCTGGAGCTTTACGTGCTGTTCGAAACTCGCCACATTTCTCTTCTTTAACAACTCTGTAAATCGTAGATTTCCCAACACTCAGCGTACTACTAACTAATTCCACTGTGTCATCAACACTTTTACATAAATGTTTGTCTGTAAATGATTTAAAACAATTAAATATTAATGTTTTTTCATTACCTGTTAAAGGACCGATTTTTTGTCGTTTACGCGGCCCTTCCAAATTTTCCATGATCACACTAGAATTCACACTGCACCTTGCAAGTTGCAACTAAACGACATTTAGTAAACTGTCAAGAATACACAACTTGGACCTCCTTACTAAATGGAAAACCTATAATCGCATTTTCGGTGAAATTTGTTGGGAAGGTATTTATCTACTTATAATTCGATTACTGTAAGAAATTCTTGGAATTAAAATAAAACAAAATTGGCAAATAGGTACTTATTGAAAATAATCTTAAGATACGGCTATGTAATCTTTAATACACAGGGCTTTTGGCCTGTCCAAACCTTTTTCTATTGTTCTGTACAGCTTATGTTTATAAAGGACCAATAAAAGACCCAAAACTTGTAATAGCTCAGGTACATTTATTACAATTTTAGGAAATATTTAGATTATTCTGTAAAAATATTTAAAATGATCGTACTAAGTTTTGCATTAGAAATGCTGTTTTATTACTCTTTCATACATAAAAATAGACTATAAAAGGAATTACAATACTTCGAAATCACCCTGTATAGTCAAAACAGATTCAGGGAATCGAAAATCCAGGCCTAAAAATCATGATTTCTATTCTTTCCCTCTGTATACAGGTAAGAAAGTAAAAAGAATAACATTTTCTTAGTGTTATTTGTTTAAAACTTGTAGTTCTTATGGATAATACCCTCTTCGTTCGTTTGTTTACCGACCCTCGTTTTATTACTTTATTTACTTTCTCAATAGACGGGTTTATGTACATAATACCAAAGAAAAGTAATAATTGAGAAGGTAACCTTTCATAATTACCGTAGTTTTTGCCCAAACTTGTGTTATATCTAGTTATGGAATTTATACATATTTTTCTCAATTAATTAATGATAATATCAATGAAAACCATTCAATCAACAAGTTGTTATGTTTTGACAATAGGAAAGTATTGACATAAAAGTCAGTTGACAGGACTCAAGGCAGAAATATTTGTGTAATAAGTGACAACGAAATATCTCAGAACGGTCTTTACTGGTACTTCCAAAGCAAACAGCGGGAGTGGGACTCTTTTTTCCGTTTGCTAAGTGTGTGTTTTTTGTTTCTTCAAGGGGTATGGTGGAGAGGCCGGCTTTTTACGGATCGCAGCCTAACATAGCGCAAAAACTAAACGCCTCATCGTTATCGGCTACTAACTCGCCCAAAATAACACCCAAACTAACAAAAACGCAATCATTCAAACACCAGAAGAGCGAGGGATTCACGCCGAAGCTCTTTCGCAAACTGTCGTTCACGAAGCGCAACAGGGAGGGCACGCCCAAAATGAGCAAAAAGCTGTCGTTGCAGAACGACAGCATCGACGAAAATCGCATATTGCAGGACGTCAACCGAAACGCTAGGTTAGAAAAACAGTCATTTATCGTCGGCTATTGGGAATGTTTTAAAAGAATACGAAACTCTTCTAGAAATAGACAAAATAGAATAGTTATGTAACGTTGAATCATTAAACTGATAAACATAAATTTAACTATGTCGGCTTGAAAGACCTAAATATGTGTCTTCAAACCAGGTATATCTAACTGCTTCTATAGTTTTATGTTATCCTTTTTTTGACATCATTGTCCTTTCATATTTGCCTATGACTCTTATCAACAGCTTGCTTTATATTTTTTATCTACTTAGCTTTGTTCATTACAGATAAAACTACTTAGGCGTTCATCCCTTCCATCATTTACATCCCCCAATTTCTTTAGACATCCCATCCATGTCCTTTTGGCAAATATCGCTTCGCCCCTCCATATCTTAATCAATGTTATTCATCTTCTTCTTCGTGTCCAGAGACAAATTGTTTTCAGTTTGTCTAATTAGAAGATTTGAAAGTTACAGCAACCTTTTTTTATAGTTTTACACCCTTCGGACCTACCGTGCTACACCCTAATCCGTCTATAACGTGGCAACACTGCAGCCTGCGGCTTATTATACTATCATTTGAAAGTCCCACCACTTTCCCATTCACCAATTCACTCCCTCATTCATTCCACGTTGTCGATGGCTAACCGCTAGTCAGATGAGCCCCATGGTGGAACCTCTCAGCAGTCACCCATCCACGACGTGACTGGAGATACCACTGCTTAACTAAGCTCGCAGCTAACCTCTCTGGCTACAACACAATCTTAAAATAGGCTTCTTTTCTGAACTGAATTTTGTTTTGTTTATTCCATCTTCTAAATCATACAATTATGGAAAGTTATCATGACAAAATAAAATAAAAATGCCCCTTTATATATAAATAATTAACGCCTGGTAACCTCAGTTACTAGATAGTTATGAGTCAAAATGATCTTAATCTTTGCTTTCATTGATATTGCCACAATCAACTTTATCAAATGGATGCTTGGCTTTTATGACATCTGACAGTACTAAAGTTGTTGCTGACTAACTGAAAGTTATTTTTTAACGGTGCTTGTTGATCTGGAGTAACTTCCACATATTCTTCCTTCTATCACAGGTGTACGAAGCTCTTGTCAATAGTAGTCATTCTTTTTGGACGTCATAGGGTTTCATACTCGTACACTAAGTACATTAAACCTTTAATTATGTGCAAATCACATTCTTTTAAAACATTCTTAATGACCGTTCAGTTTTTCTTTGAAAATTCATTGGTCTAAAACTCGATATTGGTTACATCTGGTTGTTGAATGCAAAACCATCTTTTTCTTGTATGATACCTGAACAATTTACTAGTAGAAAATACCATTATCGAGTTTTGACCGGCTCATGACAGCACTCGCATCATTCAAAATCATCATTACATCTTTAGGGACATGAGACCGAGCAAACGGGACATCACCTCGTCGACCGTGGGCCACAGCGGAGCCAAACTAGTCAACGATTACTGGGGGGTGAGTCTAGACATCCCCCCAGGCGCCATACCTAAAGGAGAAGAACGGCTGATTTATTTCGTTATTTCAGATCCCAGATTGTGCGAAAAAGCTCCACCTCTAGACCTCGATAACGGTAAAAATGTTTTGAAATAAGGGGTCGTGCGTCGGAGCGGTGTCACTTGACGAAAGGTGACGTTTAAGGTGTCAGGGGTCCTCAATTTTGACATTTGACAGCATAAACGTATCTTTATTTAAGATGACTCGTCGGCAAAGATCCTAAGCATGTTTTTGATGTTGTGTTGACCTAGATTATAAATGGTTTTGTTGATAATTTGGAAACCAGTGTACATATTTTCGAGGTTTATGTATTTTAAGTGGTTTTTTTCGGTTTGCAGGTGAAACTATGCTGTCTCCTTTGGTGATGTGTGGACCACAAGGTAAGGAATCGTACATTGGAAAAATGTATTGTTTGATTTTGTCGAGGATTAACGAACGTAATATTTTATTATAGGTACTGAGTTTCTTAAGCCTGTGATTCTGAATATCCCCCATTACGCCAATACTCTCCCGAGTCTAGGAATAAGTTTAAAAGCCACCGACTCCGAACAGGACATCCATACAGATTGGGATAACATTTTGCTGCCCAGCAATCATGCTGCCAATAGCGTAGCCGTCAAAGTAGATCACTTTTAAATCAATAATGATATTTTCAGTACTTAACACTTTTTGTTTTCAAAAATAGTGGGTTGTGGTAATTTTTGACAGTTTAAATGTCATCTGACGTTTGTCAAAAGTTACCCTGATGAACGATCAAATAGTTTCTAGTTTTGTTTTATTGTTTAACACCTTGTTTTGCTCAAATACGAACAATTTTGGTATTGTTTTATTTTACCAATTTTAGCATGGTTGTAAAATGTTTAAATAACGAATTTCAAAAAATTTTGACTGATTTTCTTCTTGTATATTTAAAAGTATGGATTTGAAGTGTTTTTATAATTGTTTACATTGGATCTTGTGATTTATACGGTATATTTTACTAGTTTTTATTGTTAATAGATATTGAAAGTTGGGATGCGAAAATTCTACAGAGAATTGTTTATTGACATTTGACGTTATTTTTTGACACCTAGTGACATTTGACGCAACTATTTATGACATTTGGTTTAACTTTCGCCATTCGACATTTCGTATATTTTATTTGTACATTTATTCTTAGTTTTATTGATTATCATTGAACATTTTGTGCAATTTTTAAAATTCTCTGTAGCCTTATTATTGCGCGTTCGTTTCTTAGTGATTGTTTTCTTTTATAAATGCCCTGTATAAAAAAACAACAAGATTTTCTTGTTAAACCTTGTTTTAGCTATTATATTGATTATAACCTAATCAAATTTTTAAATTTTAGTTATTAAGTTCATTTTATATTATATTTTACGGAATAAAAGATTATTTTAATATATTTGTCTATTTTTTATGCTAAAACTTAATGTCTATTTTCTAAGGGTTCCTCAAATTTACGAGAAATAAAGGACTGTTAAAAATTGCTTGAGAGATAAAGGATTTCTAAATTACTAGAAAGGTAAATAAAGAACTATTAAAGATTGCTCGAGAAATAAAGAAAGGTCTTAAAAATTGTTCTAGGTAAATAAAGGAATTTAAAAAAACTCGAGAGGTAACTAGTTTGAAAAATGTTAAACAAAAATTAAAAAAATTGTTCGAAAGATAAAGAACTTAGAAATTACTAGAAAGGTAAATAAAGGACTTAAAAATTGCTCGAGAGGCAAATAAAGGTCTTAAAAATGGTACGAGTTAAAGACGTTTAAAAAAAGCTCGAGAGATAACAAGTTTGAAAATTGCTCGAGGGATAAAGGACTTAAAAATTGCTAAAAAAAAAAACTTAAAAATTGTCCAAGAGATGAAGTACTTAGAAATTACTAGAAAGGTAAATAAAGGATTATTAAAAATTGCTCAAGAGGTAAATGAAGGCCTTAAAAATTTTTCAAGGTAAATAAAGGAGTTTAAAAAACGAAATAAAGGACTTGTATGTTTCAGAAACGTTTTCGGCGAAATATTTAACTAAAATAATTACAGAAACTTGTGCTTGAAATGTTATATGTTTGAAATATTTCTGAAACACGTCTGAATTACTGTGTGCTGTATCTGTTTACCCGAAATTGTAATAAACATCTATAAAATAATTTTGTACGCCAAAGTATCGCGTCCAGTTGGGTTAGCCTCTCTGCAAAACTGTCAATTTCTGTGATCAAGTGGAAGAACAGCGAAAAGCCTTTCCAACTTTTGTCCCTGCTATACCAAAATTGTTTCCAACTTCTGCCATTGCTATAACAGCTACCTAGTTAAGATGTTCTTCTTGTGTGAAGGTATGTCTATAGACCCAGTAGAAGATCGTCCAGGGGTTGAAGGTGGGCCCGGTTCCTTTTCTACTGTGAAATTACTGAGAAAACAAAAAATTGTTTTTGTTCAAAATGTGAAAATAAATAAAATAGTAAAATCACCATCTATTTGTACTGGTGGCACCATCTATTAACGAGTCGCCAAGACAAGAAGCATATTTACACAGAAATCTACTAACAGCGAGTCCTTGTTTTAGATACTCGTTCCTAGATGGCGCCACCAGTATAAAAAGACTGCCGCGTTTGAATATCCACATCGGATGCATCTGAGATGTGAATTTTTTATCCCGTGATAAAGGATTGGATCTGAAAGTAGATGTAATAAACAAACGCTCTAGACTTTATTGGTCACGTGATATTTTATCATTGTCATTTTGACAATGACAAATTAAAAGTTTATATTTTTAAATTTAACTTTTAAGACTACAAATCATCCAAAATTTGAAATCTAAACAACAATTAAACACACACTTTTACATTCGCGCTAGCATAAACAGAGGATAAAATTGATAAATCGATAAATTTGGCTTCACAGAACACCTACTTTCTGACATGGAACGAACATCTCATTTCAAATGGAGATGTAAAAAATGTAATCTGGACAGCTACATCTAGGATACACAAACGCAGATGTAGATGTGTCCGATGTGAATAAACAAACGCTCATTTGATAAACACCATGCAGAGCAAATTATTTTAAATACAATTAGGCATTCCAACGACCTGTCCAAATAAATAATTGCCTACATTTTTACTTCAAGGCATAAAAGCTTATGTTTACTTTTAAAACCATGGATGATCAATCTATATAACTATCTATATCTTTGAGCCTAACAAACCACCAGGCTCACAGTGTTGCCATATTATAAACAGACATATGCCTGTCATTTCAAACGGGCAGCCATTTTATTTGGAATTCCTAATAATTGAAGACTTTCTTTTAAAAACAACACATGTCCAAGAATGCCTGAATTAACTGTGACAATTAATGGCCAAATGAGGAATAACTGCAGGTTTATCTAGAATTAAAACTATTTTTTGTCATAAACAAGGGCGGCAGAGAAATACGCTAAATTCGGCCTATAGCCGCCTTTGTTTAGTTGAACGCGGCCTACTAGTTCGTTCTGTAGTCTGTGCGTAGAGTAGTAGGAGTATATATTAGTCGTTTTCTTTTTACCGCTAATCTGAGCTAACTTACATCGACTTAAGCTTAGTTGTACGTTCTTTTTGTAATTGTAAGTCAGAATCTTTTTTCTTTCTTCCCCCCTTACCGATTCACAAGTACAAGGATCTTGACGTCAACCGTAAACCATAACAGAAAAAAACATCCCATGAATTCATTATTTTAAAGATATTAAAAGACTATATGATAACAAGGGGTAAGATCGAAGTGTTGAATGTTGAAGAAATAAAATTTGATAAAAAAGTCAATTAGGAAATCCAAATCACGTGATTTTAAATCGTGAACCCTTGGCAAAAACAACAACAATACGTGCTTCCCTTAACAAAAACACTTCTAGTGAGGTTATTAGTCTAAGTTTGTATAATTTTTTTGGAGTATTTAGAGATGTTTTCGGTATGTTTAGTTGAAAAATTGCATAAATAAATATTTATTTTGAATATATAGAAACATTAATTGCATGATTTGCAATAACAGTCAAATAGGTACTAAAGAAAAAGTCAGGTCAAGAAGCTTCATTGTTTTCGCCAAGCGTTGGCCATTTTTGACCATTCTGACAGGTTATTGGATTGCCTAATTAGGCATACCGAAAACAACTCTGGATATTCCAAAAAAAAAAAAATAATACAAACTTAGACTAATAACCTCACTAGAAGTCTTTTTGTCAAGGGAAGCACGTACTTTGTTGTTTTTGCCAAGGGTCCACCATCACAGTCCACCATTTTAAAGTCACCTCATTTGGATTTTCTAATTAGGCATTCCAACGACCTGTCCAAATGGCTACCAGTGGGTAATGACAGTTTAGATATGGCAACCCTGTTGTCAAGTTGTCATGAACATATATAGTTATATAGATTTCTCAAAGCTGGTCGTTTACGAGCGGCCATATTGCCTGGCAAATATTTATTAATTTGAATCGGTTTAGCAAAAATGTGTTTTAAAACCAATTATTAGCCTTTAGATATTTAAAAAAAAAATAATTGCTTACATTTTTACTTCAAGGCATAAGCTTATGTTTATTTTGAAAAATATGGATGATCAATCTATGTAACTATCTATTTCATTGACCTTGTCTAATCACAAGGCCTACAGGGTTGCCATAATTTTGCCATATCATAACCCGTCAAAACCCACTGGTAGCCATTCAGTTTGGAATGCCTAATTAGGCATTCCAACGACCTGTCAAACAATAGGTGCCAGTGGGAAATTCTTGTATATTTAATGGGGTAGCGACATAGTCTTGTAACTTGGACGCTATTTTTATTCGAAGTAGTACTCGCCTAGCCTGCCAATTTATGAAGAAATGTATAGGTGGGTTTTTTAAATATTATTTTTGTGTTTGACGTAAAATATTTAAATGTAATCCATTATTTATGATTTTACGTAAAGTAGATAGAATAGATATATGTCGCCACCCTTAGATATACCAAACCTGCTCACTGGTAATTCATTTGTTTGGAATGCCTAATTAGGCATTCCAAACTGAATGGCTACCAGTGGGTTCTGACGGGTTATGATATGGCAAAATTATGGCAACTCTGTAGGCCTGGTGATTTGACAAGGTCAATGAAATAGATAGTTACATAGATTGATCATCCATATTTTTCAAAATAAACATAAGCTTATGCCTTGAAGTAAAAATGTAAGCAATTATTTTTTTTAATATCTAAAGGCTAAAAATTGGTTTTAAAACACATTTTGGCTAAACCGATTCAAATTAATAAATATTTGCTAGGCAATATGGCCGCTCGTAAACGACCAGCTTTGAGCAATCTATATAACTATATATGTATCATTGACCCTGTTAATGACAACATGACAACAGGTTTGCCATATCTAAACTGTCATTACCCACTGGTAGCCATTTGGACAGGTCGTTGGAATGCCTTATTGTTTTTAAACGGATGACATGGGACACGTCATCTGTCAAACAAAATTCGCGTTCTTTTTACAACTTAACTTAGATCAGCAGAATCTAACTTTTAGTTAGTCAAGATACCCTTAAAAAGAAAACGACTAATATCCATGTGGGTGCAAAAAACTCTGCATTTGTGCAACTTTCAGGAGTATGAAAAATAAAACAATCCGTTTATAAATTAATTCATTTTATTTGTTGTTTGACACATAAAATTCAGAAATATATATTTAAGAAATAATTTGTGTATATTAATAATAGCTATGAACATATGTAACACACACAAACTTATCTATAGCTTAGAAAGTACAGTCAATAACAGCATTCTTACATATTTTGAGATCACAAAATATATAATTCAATAACAAATTCAACAATCTCCGACTAAATTTCGAACATTCGATGTGTCTCTCCGCGCCCAAGATATTGCTAATAATTAATAATTTATAAAAATTTAAAAAATGGCAGTTCGAAATCTTATTAGGTATTACGCCTAAATTTTAGTTAGGAACAATTTTGAATTTAGATTCAATTTTACTCTAAGAATAAAATATTTACGACACGAGCAGACACATTGAACGAACGATGTTCGTCCTTTTTTTGTACAATTTCCAGTTTTTTTTTTCTAATGAGCTGCCGTATGACAAAAAAAACATAGAATTTTAAAATACTGAGATGAACATTCAAAATCAAAATTATCACATCATTTTCAACAAAAGAAAATATAAAAATATCTGTTATAAAATTAAAATAATTAACAAAAATATCCATGCATAAAAATGGTGAACAAGCTAAATTTTTTTTATATAT